CTGATCAGCATCTCCCCTTGCGCCCTTGCTCTGAGATGAGAGCGTCCTCTCAAGGCGTCACTCGATCACTTGAACACTGTGGCCGAGTCCGTGCGTAAGCTGAAGCGCTTTAACGCCTCATGCCAGGGCTATGTTCACGCCACTCATCGCCGCGCCCAACTCGGCCATGTTGATGTGGTCCGTCGCCTTGGACTCTGGCCGGAGCCACGCGGCATCCTCGAGAACGCCGTCCTCCGCATCCTCCAGGACGACCCCGTTTGCTGTGGCGCTCGCGTCAGTCCACACCATGAGCTCTCGGCCGACCATCCGCCACGGCCCACGAGCAGGGTCAGCTGCCCTCACCCGCGTTGCGACTTCCCGAATATGCGCGCGCGATGCATCATCCGACACTGAGTCGTCCCACCCGATCGTCAGGCCGTTCACTTGCCTCTTAAGCCAGGCAGCTGCTGGCCGCAACCATCCCGCCACGGGGAGGTGCGCCAACAACTGCTCGCACCACGCAAACACTGCACGCCGGGTGAGCTCGGTCGGCGGTGGAGGCACCTCATTGTCTCGACACCACCGCAGGTCATCATCCCGAGCCTCGACTTGAAGGCCGAGCATTCGCGCTCCGTCCGCGACGCGCTCCGGCGGCTTGCAGACCAGCCCGTACCTCGCAAAGTGCTCCACCACCTTGTCGGCGCTGACCACGTCTTCTTCGATGAGCAGGTCGTCCACATAGGCGAGCACTCCCCGGCTGATCGCCTCGTTTTCACGCAGCACCGCCTAAACGACAGCCTCCATAATCAACGGCGCCACATTGAGGCCGAATCCGAGCCGCGTGAGGCTGTAGGTTCGGCCCTTGACCTGCACCGTCTGATAGGGTCACAGCCGGCGCTACAGACGCAGCTGCAAGTACGCTTTTCGCAGATAGACCACGGCCAACCGGGCACCATGCTGGCGCCAGGGGCACAACTGCTCGGCGCACACGTCGGCCGGCCTGGCCTTCCCCTTGTGCGGCTGTTGAACTGCCATCAAGGGAATAATGCCTCGAGCGGGCCCGTCCTCTTGCTCGTCATAGGGCCAGAGTCATTCGTTCGCCACCCACTCAGCCAACTCGCGCTCGTAGGCCCCTCATGCTTCAGCCGGCACAGCGTATTCACTCACGGTGTTCCCCAGACGTTCGGGACCACGTCCGTGCGCCCGCTTCCACGCCGCGCCCCAGTGAGCGCCGTCGAACCGAGCTGTGAAATTCTCCACTTCCAACGCCAGTGAGCTTCGGGTGCCGCTGCCCGGCGCCACCGCGCCGCATGCCGGCTCGTTACTTGCCGACTCCGGCGCCTCCTGCGTTGCCGCACCCAGCGGCACGTCAGTCGGGGACCGAACACTGATGCCCCTTAAGACGGTGATGCCGGACATGCCGATCAGCATGTCCAACCCCGATGGACGATCCGCGACCACCATTACTCGCTTGCCTCTGCAGCCGAACGTCACCTGGGCGGTGCCCACGCACCGCAACACGACATCGTTCACCGTTCACATCTTGAGCGCGCACGGGCGCCACGTGCGGCAGCAGCTCGCGTGAACCAGGGTGTCCGTACATCCCGTGTCGAGCAGGGCACGCCAGGGGCGCTGGTCCACCAGCAGTGTCACGACTGGAGAGCGCGCGCTACTGCTCGGGGGACTGCGTTGGCGTTAACGCAGCCTCCCTGCCCGTTTGGGCAGTCGGGTTCCTCGTTCTTCGTGCGCTCTAGCCGCTGCCGCTGCCGCACCGACACGTTCGCCGCTCAGCACTGCCCGGGGCTCGCACCAGGATGCTCTCCAGGCTCGAAGCCTCCGTCCGGGCGCCAGCACGGACAGTCCTCCGCACCTCGTCGGGCACGTCGGCGTCAACAGCGCACGTGGGCATGGTTTCCGGAACCCCACCGCACAGAACTGCGAGACGCCGTAGGTCCGCCAGGAACACGTCAGGCGACTCACCAGGCAGCAGCCGTTGGCTGGTATATGCGTCGTGCGCGGCAAACCGATCCATCGCAAAGGCGTTATAGAGAGCGTCACGCACGGCGTCACTCGATACGCGCGCCTCCTCCGGCATCTGCAGCCAGACGGCAAACGCGCCACCCGTGAGTCGCGCCGGCAGAATGCTGGGCAAGTCCGCTCCACGATGACGGCAGAGCACGGCCGCCCTCGTGAACCACGCTACGACGTCGGCCGTGCCATCGTACTCGGGGATGAGTCGCGCGTCGAATAGGCCTCCACCAGTCACCGCGGCCCCTCTGTCCACTCCGGCCGTAGCAGTCGGCATCACTGGTGCTGGGACACTCGCAGCAGCCGTTATCACGGCGTCACCACTGGCCGCGGCGGTTTCGGGCAGGATGGCCGAAATAGCTTGCAAGAGAACGTAGCGTGTATTCGCCTGGACTCGTTCAAAAACTGACCGGCGCCTGCGAGCGTCGGGTCCCTGCCGCCGCCTCAGCGGCCGACCCTTGACCCCCGGCGAATCGGGGGACCCGCGGTCACATGACGCCCCCGGCACCCAATCAGATGTAGAGCTCGGGAGACAGCGAGGGCGAGGGCGCACACCCCGCACAATCACACCACAATACGTAAGATTTGTGAGCTAAAGTGAAGTTGCTGTGTCTATCGTGGCTTCAGGCTGACAGTAAGTAATTCTTGAATGCTGTGTTCTTTAGGGGTCCACATTCACCGCATGTGGAAACTGAAATTCACTGCCTTCTTATTGTGGTGTGTTTCTGCACAGTTTCTTTCTGTGTGCGTTTCTTTCAATGTGGAAACTTAAATTCACTGGCTACTCGCCGTGATGTGCTTCTGTCCATATATTTTATTTCATCATGGAATGGATTGTTACCATCAGTAATGCATGTCCGCAGCAAGGGGCGTGTCATTGTAGGATTGTATGAATGAGAATGTAGGGCAAAAATTTGCGTAATTCTGTACCCTTTAGCAGCATGGTGCATGGTGTTGTCCTTTGGAAACGACGGCTATGAAACATCTGAATCAAATGCGCTTGGGTCGGGGGGGGGGGGGGGCTGGGAATCAAACATGGTGGGGGTGGAGTTTAAGGCCTATTCATTATTCATATGCACATGGGCTGGTCGTGAAAGAGAGCCGTGGTGCGCGTCTAGGGTTGCGTATTATATTGTCAGGTTTGTAGTTAATCGCACGACTGGCATTTCGTGCTCTACGCGAAACAAGATACATGAATGTGCCACGGATCCATTACAAACGAGTTTCCCACGTGAAACGCAAACAAAGGCGCCTTTAGATCTCGACACATTCATCCTCATACTCGACACTGTTGCGCATCGTTTGTCCCAAATCCGTCAGTGCTGTATCCAAAGTTAGCTACCATGTCTTTCTTCCCGATACGACGTCATGCATCCTGATGGGAGCTTGTAGTAGTCCTGCGAAGGGTGAGTTTTTAGTAATTTTACATTAGACAGTATACTAGGCTTATTCCTTGGATAAAAACCAGGAAAACTGGTATATATATATATATATATATATATATATATATATATATATGTGTGTGTGTGTGTGTGTGTGTGTGTGTGTGTGTGTGTGTGTCTGCGTGTGTGTGTGTATGTGCATTGATATTTCGGCAACATACTTTTATCGAAACAATAGAAGTAGTCCTCTGCGATTGCTTCGATACAGGCATGTTGCCGAAATATCAACGCATCTATATCTCCGTTTTCCTGGTTTCTGTATGAGGAATGGGGTTATTACTATTGTCTCATCTATGTGAATTATGTTCCTCACAAATGCACTTAACAGCATACTTAATTTTAGATTGCTCATTTCTCTGCGAACGTTCGCGTTTTTGGTCGCCACCATGTTATGTTAGACGTTTTTCAGCTCCAAATACGTATTTTGCATAAGATCAGAAGATTTGAGAAGGTGACTCATTACTCTTTAAAAGAGCATAGCTGTGAACTGCAGGAAACAATCCGGAAAATGACTCTCTCAGTTCAAAACCCAAAATAAGTGTCGAACGGTCCGTTTAAAACGACGTTGGCAACGTTATGAGACAGCATAGTGAAAATAACGGATCTTCATTGTGCCACCAGGTGCCATATGAACGGGGATGTCAAACAATCATTACTGCATGCTATGAAAACAGCCGTGCTCCAGGTAAGGTTCATGGCGGCGGGTAGAACAAGGGAGAAATCGAACTTTCTTCAAAGTTAAAAAGATTGTCTGCAGGCTGATTTCCTCAACAAACACGTTTACGACCGGCATGCGTTAAGGTCTCTGTCGGCTGAAGGGACTAAGCCGAACAAAAAGTTTTGGCAAGCTTATTTTTTCCGGAAGGGGTTGGAAATTGTGCTTAAAAAATGCATTAATCTGAAAATTCCTGAACCTTACAATGTCTCTCTTTTTCACCAAGAATTGCCGAGCTTATCTTCGGCCCGGACGTGCGTGGTCCGTTTTCCAGCACTCGTCTAGGTCCGAGAACTGCATCGATCGCACCACAGCTCTCTCCTGGATAAATTCGCACATGATTCTGATTGGTCCGTCTGTGAAGGCTGGGCGGAGCCAGCGCCCCAAGCCCCGGGTAAGAACGGCCGTCAGAGCCGCCGACGGAGCTCATGCGTGCCCTTGTTACACGCGCTCCCGCTGCGCCTGCCGCTGACAGGGTAATTTGCGGTCCTGGGGGCGGGCGCCCGCTAATATGGATGCTGTCAGCCCCAGCCCGCTCTCAGAGGAAATAACAGCGCGCCGCCGGTGGCGAATCACTGCCGCCGGAAAAAACCGCCGGCAATTTGCACCAGGGATAGCGCGGTGCCATCAGTGGCAGTCCGCGCTGTGTCATACACAAACACTCGAGCCGCGCTGCCGGGCGAACTTCAATTTGTCGGGGCGTCAGGCCGTTTTGACGCGGCCGGCCGGCGATGGCGGGGTACGGGGGCGCGCTCAGTGCGGGCGGGGGCGGCGGCCGAGCAGGGCTACCGGGCCAGGTGCTCAGGCAGCAGGTGTTCGCGCCCCAGCTGACCGCCATGCCCACCTACGAGCAGGACGGCAAGGAGACGCCCTCCTCCTGCGCCTTCTCCCGCTGCCAGGCTCTCGGAGTCGGCACCCTAGGTGAGTGTGCGGCGTTTTCGCTGGCGGTTGGCGGTGTGGGAGCGCGGCAACGGAACGTTGTTTTGCCACGCTCCTGTTCTGTCGCTTGTGCCGCTGCCGCTGGTGACCGACGCCGTTCACACCTGCGATGCTTGCCGCTTCGGGTGTTCAGTGCTCCGACTTCTTTCAATCGCTTTCGCGTATAACAGCTATTCAGGTTCTCGTCTGCGTTAGCCCACGAAAGCTCCGCTGTACGCAGTTGTCTCGGCATTGGTAAAAAACTGAGGGTGGGTTCGAGGCTGTAAAGGCGTTTTGCATAGAGAGACAATAGACGTAAGAATGAAATCCGCGAAGTTCAGACCTGTGTTCTACCCCCCTTCCCCCCGCCCTCTCTCCCCCTCCGTGCTCTGCAGTTCTGTCATCTGGCCACATAAATTGCACTTTGTTTCTTTACTTTTTACCAGTTTGCAAGGAAATGGAAAAAATAAAAGGAACGGAAAACGCCTTTTAAAGTGTCTGTATTTGTTTCCGTCGTCTCATTTATGATTAAGTATTTTTTACTCAGATCTACAATGCCTGACCTAACGTAGGATATTTTTTAACTGCTAACCAGGAAAAGATAACGGGTCGCCTACTCCCTCTATCTCAGCAATGCAATAAACCGTACGTTAACACCAGAAAACATACATCCAAGTCGCGGCAGTCCAAGCTCAGAAGTAGAAGCAAGCGTAAAGAACCGAAAGAATAGGTGTACAAGCCCGATAGGATCATTGTTAAGTGCTAGCCATGTAAAATCGTAAGAAGAGGCTTAAAGTAAATACGTGGCCAAACGTTGCAAATGTCAGGCCGTTAAAAGCAGCTCAGAAACCACTTTCATTTTTCCAGTGTTCGTAAGAGGCATTGATTACTCAGGTGAGAACAGCCCTTAGTTGGTCAGTTTCATGCAAGGTCTCAGATGTTCCTAGACGCGAACTACATATCCACAAAGAAATGCTATTGAAAACATATTTCAACTTAACATGACAATATTTATGAAACGATGCCACGTTGCAGAATTAGTCTCAAACAGACCCGCTCCTTGTTTAATTCCGAGTATATCGATGGGCATTTGGTTGCGATTTGAGCACAAAGGAATGGTGTGGAGCTCCGCTATGTTGCAGCTATGTAACTATAACAGCGCCGCACCCCCTGCACGCGACTGGCGCATTCGTCGATCGTCCACCGCCCGCGGGGGCCGCAGGTCGCCGCAGCGAGCAGCGCTCCTGAAAACCGTCGCTGCTCAGAGGCTAAAAGTGCCAGATGCATGTTTTTGATGTTCAATCACGCAAATGAATGCCCAAAAGCTGCTGAATATATGGGCGCAGATGTTTAAAAAAAAGATTAGAAGGAGAGGGAACCGACCCTCATCAGGGCAAGGGTTGAGCAGCAAGAGTTCAAACAGGGAAGAATTTAGGTGTTCAAAAGCACTTACGTTGTTGTTTTTTGTTGTCAGTTAGTTGCCTAAGCCTACAGATTGCTCTCACGTTTTTACTTTATATCCAAGCAATGTCATTAGTATGGGGCGTACATTTTAACAGTTTTTCGATAAGCACGTTAAGGCATTTTATCATTTGCTGTTCTCAATAGGTTATAATGTTAAATTTTTGATGTACTTGAAAATGAGCAGGAATTGAAGCATAGTGCTGCGTCGAAATTTTGGATCCATTGAGTAAGAGGAAACCGACTCGAAACCAGTAAAACGGTCATGGGAAGTACGTCGACATTCTTTCGGAGCACAGCGATGCTTGCATTCTTGATAATGATTGGCGTGTGATCTACTTTGAGATAGAGCTAAGGCGATAGGCATGGGCCTGGTCCCCCTTGGATCCCCCTTGCTTCAGGGTTTGGCGGTACAGCAGTCTACTGTTCGGGCCTGGCTCACCTCGGTTTTTCGGGTATGACAGCGTGGACAAGTCCTTCATGGCTTGGGGATAATGTCATCTGTGATAGAGATAAAATAACCATTTCATCTCATGGCTGTATATGTGGAGATACTTTGCCATGAAAATTCTTAGCCAGACTGATACCCTCTCTGTATGACAGTTTGTGAAATGCTCACTTTCACGCTTCATATCTGCAAAAATCGCGACTTGTCGGGCTCGCATTTCAGTAAATTATCATAACTAAGATGTCTAGATCATCAGTCTGACGGAAGGTAACCCAGTAAACAATGTTGCCACCACCCAAACATTGAAAATTAATTAACATTTTTTCTCGGACAGTGGCACCACACGACCATACCCATAACGTCCACCTTGAGTTTTCCATTGATTACCTTGAGAGCAACAATTCAGGTCTGATCAGTGGCCCCGTCAGCCTTTGGCGCAGGGATCCGTTCCGCTTAACTCAGACTAGGTCCAGACTGGCGTGGGTGTTGCTCGGTCCCATCTACAGAATCTTCTAGACCTTTTGCCATATCACGAAGCTCATAATCTTTCAGTTCCAGGTTTTTTTTAAATTCTGCCTTTCAGTGAGCTTCTCATGCGTAACTAATTCATCGTCTTTTTCACCTCAGCCGCGATTTCTCTCTACTTCGCGATAACGCGATATCTCCCTTCTGAGGACACATCGACCAGTTTGGTAAAGCTATCGAACAACCAAATTGGTTATCAAAAAGATGTCGCTGACTCAGAAGAAATATGAAATATAGCATAGGCTGACGTGATCCCAAAGCACTGAATTTACCTGAGAGTGCCTGTGGTCAAGCCTCGCCTACAGCCGTCACGAACTATCTGCGTCTGACTCGATCCAGATGAGACGCGTCACGCTCCGCGCAACGGAGCACATCTGCACATCATCATCGGAGCACATCTGCATCTGCATCCAAGCTGGGGACTTGACTGAATTGTGCAGACTGGAGCGCTGGGCTCGCGCGCACGCCCTTCCCGCTTGTAATCGCTATCGCATTGTGTGTGTGCCGTTGGCCCTTGCACGCCTGGCCCGACAGTGAGCTTCGATCTCGTGCGGTCCAGCTTTCAGACGGCCTCCGGCCCGGTGCAGCGCCACAGGCGGTGGCGGCTCATCTGACGCGAACACTGCATCACGCCCGGGCCCTCGTGCACGTGTGAAGGATCTTCGACGGCAATGCCTCCTGCCGCAGGCGTGGAGGAGCGGCCGTTCGAGCCTCTGGACGACCTGTACTTTCCGGGCAGCCCGTACCGGGTGCAGCGGCACGCGGCCAACATCCGCGAGCGCAAGAGGATGCTCAGGTAGGGCCGACGCTGCCGGAAGCGCTTCGCAGCGTACAAAGCCGGCCACTGTCCGAGTCGCGGTGATCAAACACCGAGCGGAAGGAGTTCGTTCCTACGGAAAAGGGATCAAAGAGGGTAACTCATTCCGTTCGGTTGCTATTGTGTAATCTTAGCAGGCACTTCTTGGGCAAATTTCAAGTGCAATGTAAAATGTTGGAATTATGGTAGCTGCTGTATGTAGCTTTGCTAGTGTATGGCTCCGTACCAAGGAGCCGCGCTGCTGAATGTTTTACAAAAGTGGCCGCTGCGACCCTGCACAGCGATAGGTGTTAGTGGGGACGAAGGCTCGTTTTCAGTTGGAGGGGCCCGATTCTCCCCGTCGCTAGCTTAAAGGTCGGCCCTCCTTACTTAATAACGGGGCCATCTCAGTCGGAGGCATGATGCTTATACGATACGAGCAGGAGAGAAACTAATATGGACGATCGAAATACAATTTCTGTAGCTCAGCGTCGTCTTGGAGGAATACCAATTTGTGGAAATCGATATGTCATATGATATGATATCAAGCCTCAAGCACACATTAGCCGTCCGCACACACATCGCAGTTGCTCCGTGTTGCCACAGCCAGCGGTTCCTGGCAGACTCGTGGCTGTCCCGTTACCATCCAAATCCATCTGGACTTAGGAGTCTGACACCGCCACCAGATCCTGAGATTCAGCCCCCCCGAACGGCGCCACCGGTCCCCTCACGGCCTAAGCCTGCGGCCCCGCCAGTGCGTGGTCTCGGATCTATAGGTGTGTCAGTGATTGTGATCATTTTGTTTCAAGACTGCTGGGATTGTAGTGTCACTCACGCCAATAGCGGTGCAAATGAAACCGAAACCATTGAAAGCATGCGTGATGATGGGAGTCAAGCCAAACTGGGTACCTCCCAACCACAATCCTGGCGCCCTTATCACAAACACACGTCATAAGAACATGCATACCTCAGAGCGGAAACCAGCACTGAGCCCACTGAGAATCCTGTTATCGACGCCGACGCCGGCTTCTGGTGGCGAAACACGGACCTTCGACGTCACTATCAGTCGCTGTCAGACCACTGCCTTCGACAGAGCAACGGGCCGATCCAGTCAAACACGACCCTTCACACCGCCATGCAGTTCGTTTTGGACCAAAGCCTCCAATTTGGCGATGGAGAAACCATTGAGAGACCAAGCGTAATCATTGGAGAGAAAAAAGGAACGATACTTTATGACACCGATTATCGCTTGCTGCTGGTAGTTGCCGTCACGGGTGTACACTGCATTATCCGGGTCGGTAAAAAAGCATTGGCATTCTTGATTTCGTTGTCCAATAATTTCTAATGGCCAATAGCAGCCGTGGACACCGGCCTAGAGTGACCGATGGAAGCACTGGACGAGGTGGTCCGAGAGAGCGGTCTCCTAAAGGGATCGGTGGTGGCATTGGAGAAGGTGGTCAGAGAGAACGGGGCCCTAGAATGACCGGTAGTACCACTGGAGGATGTGGTCTAATAGACCGGGGTCCTAAAGTGAACGGTGTTAGCATTGGAGGAGGTGGTCCAGGAGAACTGCGCGGCGGCGTCACGACCCTTGGAGTCGGTGGTTCGTCAGCGGACGCAGTCCCTTAGGGACACCCTGGACTGCCTGATAGAAATTGTACGCCCTGGATGGTTGCTAAATTTGAAGCTACCTTTCATCCGTTGTATTGCTGGAAGCTATATTAAAGGACCTCTGGCCCCAGGACCATGGCCAGCAAATGTCAATCAGCGGGTCTTTTGCGCCGATCGCGCTCACATAGCCGAACAGGGGATTCCATGTCGGCCAGCGGCAGTTGACCTGCCTCTGTACAGCTCATTTGTTGTGCACGAGCAGGTACGGGGCCCCCAAAGCCGTAGGGCCTCTTGTGTTGGTCGGAGTCCTTTGACGGTGAAAGGAGTTATGAAAAAGGACAATGGAAGAGATTGTAATAAGACAATATAATGTCATTTGCCATTCTGGAGACACAGTGGTGAAGGGATGCCCGCCACCTCGGGTCAGCCAGGAGCCTGATGAGCCCAACTGGGTTTTCTGTGCTAGTTATTAAACCCATTGTGCCAGTAAGGGATCCTTTTGTGTCAATGAATGCCCCTGGGTCGAACCGGTGCCAACTGCCCCGGTCAGAGGGTCCCGCGCGCCAGGGAGGGACCGATGTATGCTGTATCCCTCTGAGGCCCCCAGATCCACCAGGGGTTCCGGCTACCGTATCGTCAAAAGGACAGGCGGCAGGCGCCCTGATCTGGGGCAGAAGGGCTCTTCAGTCCCTGACTGGGAAGGATATCTATCACATCACAGATACGTATATTAAAGTTGCTCGGTCCATTGCATTCTGAAAACTCTGGCAGCGGAGAGCACATCGTCCTCCCCACGGGTTCGACAACTGAGATCATCCTCCAATGAACATGCGATCCAGCCAGCATAACAGAACATGTGAGCAGGCCAGCACACGGCGAGGCTGGGCGCCACGCTGGGCGGATGCAGAGTTCGACACGCATTGGATGATCTATTCCGTGGGCGGATGACGGTCTCGCAACACTGTTTCCTAATTTGGGATCCCTTCGTCCCGTGTACACTGGTAAGGAAGGCGGTACGGCAGGTGCGCGGAAGTCACACCAGCTGTCTATGAAATCAGCCTCATTCTGACATGTTGAAAGAGGCAGACTTCGTGAGGATACCAGATCCAACGTCTTTCTTTTAGCAAAGAACCTGAAGGTTTTTAAACTAATACATCATATTCAGATTTAGATAAAATAACTGTCCCAAATCTGAGAAGAAATCAGCGATAGAGGATACCACGGGATGACTTAATTGGGGCTGGGCAAGTTCCAGCTGATTTTGTGCACCTGCACGGGGGAGGGGTACTTCTATTTGTACAGTATACGTTGGTGTACTGGTTCGCACGGTCCAGACTTGCCGCTTTTTCCTGAGGGGCTCACAGCAGCCATAAGCATGGAAAGAGTTCTATTTCAAGCGGTCTGACCACCCCACTATTTGGGCCGTTTCTGCATCGCTGGTTACAGCCTCTATAACTCAGCCCTCAGTAACACTTGTTCCAGCATCAACTCGGCGTTCGAGGAGCTGCGCGTGCACGTGCCGACGTTCCCGTACGAGAAGCGGCTGAGCAAAATCGACACGCTGCGACTGGCGATCGCCTACATCGCGCTGCTGCGCGAGGTGCTGGACAGCGACCTAGACCCCATCACCTACATCGACAAGTGTCTGCGTGGCGAGATCCGCACCGAGGGCAGCGTCGAGTGGAACACCTCAGGTCAGGGAGCACCTCAGGTCAGGGTACATCTGAGGTCAGGGGACGCCTCAGGTCAGGGTACATCTCAGGTCAGGGAACACCCCAGGTCAGGGAACACCCCAGGTCAGGGGACACCTCCGGTCAGGGAACACTTCAGGTCAGTGAACACGTCAGGCCAGGGAACACCTCAGGCCAGGGAACACCTCAGGCCAGGGAACACCTCAGGTCAGGGGACATCTGAAGTCAGGGGACACCTCAGGTCAGGGTACACCTTAGATCAGGGAACACCTCAGGTCAGGGAACAACTCATGTCGGGGAACACCTCACGTAAGGGGACACCTCAGGCCAGGGTACGCCTCAGGTCAAGAAACACCTCAGGCCAGGGAATACCTCAGGTCAGGGGACACCTCAGGTTAGGGAACACCTCAGGCCAAGGAACACCTCAGGTCAGGGAACAACTCATGTCTGGAAACACCTCAGGTCAGGGGACACCTCAGGCCAGGGAGTAACTCAGGTCGGAGGACACTGCAAGCATTTGTGGAGCAATGAGGGGCAGGGGGGTCCCTGGACAGGTATGCGCTCATGATAGGCAGGATGACTCAGGTCAGGGCCTCAGGTCAGGTAAGACCTCAATACCAGGTAGGGGAACTTCAGGTCAAGGGAAGCTGTCATCAAGGAATCGAACTTCAGGTCAGCGGGTTACTCAGATCGGAGGGTTGTCTGGCCAGGGTGAGTCTGGAGTCAGCCTTTTTCACCAGAAAGAGCCTGGTTAGCAACAGCCCAAAACAGAAAGGTCGCGAGGCACGTGAGGTCAGGGGTCACCTCAAATCGGGGCAAACCTAGAGCCGGCGATCAGGGTCGGTCAGTGACGTATTTTCTCCAGCGCCGAGAGCCCCGCGTGCCAGAAACCATTTCGTCCCATAGTGCGGTCATCTTGGTCTCAACGATGCATCTGCCCATAGACATTGGGCTAACGGCTCACCAGCTCGGGATAATCAACGTACAAAAAGGAGTATCTATGGAAGGGTGCTAATATGACCATACGCACTAAGCGATCTCTGCTCATCTTCAATATCTCCATTCCACCGACACACGCGACTTCCCGACGAGATTCTCTTGAGATCTTATCAAGGCATTGCGGATTCTAGATTCTCCCTCAACGTGTATTTCTCAGAACGGACCTCTGGCGGTGGTATATATTTGCGGTCATGAGGTAACTGCTCATATTTAGCACATTTAATGGACGCTAACCCAATGTAGAATATGCGGAACAAACTCAAGTCCAGTTATGCATGGCAGCAGTGTGTGAATAATCCTTTGTCCTGTTATCTTATCTATCTGTTGTCTATCTTTATCCTTTATCCTGTGTTAATCCTTTATCCTAATTTATCCCGTTAGGTAGTGATGTGAGCCACGGCGCTGGCATGCGTACCTCCACGCGGCGAATGCCCATGTCGCAAGAGTGAGAACGTTGTCGTAGTGCCCCGCCTGGACCACACGCAGCGTCTTGTTCTTCCCACCACCGTCTCGCTGATAAGAAATAATGTCTGCTGCCGACAGACCTGACGGCGAGGCTGTCCTGGATCAACTGGGAGAACCTGGGAGTGAACCCGGCCCGGCGCAGCGTGCTCACCTCGTTCTCGGTCAGCCACGACCTACCAGGCAACTAACCGGGCTGAGCTGCGGGCGCCGGCCCGACCCACCGACCGCCCACCAGCCGGGTGGAGTCGGTGTCACCGAGTCGGTGTCCATTTGCGACTCGGAGCCCCGGTGGCGAAGTCAGATGTCCGCAGAGGCAGATTCAGATGTCCCCAGAGGCACTCTCGAAGGTCTCCAAATACGGACTCGAGCGGTTTCGAACGGAGGCGTCGTGGCGGATGTTCCACTGGTGGAGGTTTCCGCTTTACTACGTCTTCGAAGGCGGTGCGCCAGAAGATTTGTAGACATTGTCATGAAGTCAGCAAGTCCCAGTACGGCAATGACGCCTATCTCCACACCGCGGACAAGACTGCTCTGTTAGGCAGTGCGCTATTTTTGCTATAGCTGTGGATCCCTGTCACGCCAAGGAAGATGCTTCGCTCTACTCCAACGGAGGCATCTTGTCCGGTAGCATACGTAGCATAGTATCCAGCGCGTTACTCTGCTCTGCGTGTGCTGCAGCTTGACGGAGCGTTCACGTTCTTCCATGGACAGGTTTTTAACCTTCATTTAATGAGGGCGGGCCTCCGACCTCCCCTCAAGGTTTTTCCGGCACAGCTTCCGAACTGCTTTAGGCACCACACCAAAATTTTGGGCAGCTTAAATTATATAATGTTTTCACGTGGTGTCAAATTAAGTTCCTGACCTTGACCTGCCATGTTATCGCAGAAAACGCACTTCATAACCGTTTTGGAGACTGATTTGACCACCTTGAGCAAATTTGACCCGTAAAAATGACTTTTGGCATTGTTTCGTCGAGCCTAGATTGTGCGGTTTGACGACAGTTTTCTAACGCCTTTACTCCAGCGGCTCTGACATGCTTACTTTTTGATATATTTAATTGACCTCTGAAGCCCCCCTCCTGGAGCAAAGGTGCAAACAACTGTCGTAAGACGACGGCTTAGAACGTTGATATAGATGGCAGCAATGCCTGAATCTGTATTGCACTTGATGTGAGTGTTTATCTAGTCATTATCAGCTGTCGTCCTTGGGCAGGTGCCAGCTCCTCGAGACAGACCGTACAGAATCAGCGCCATTTTCGGTCATTTCGTTCCATTCCACGCCCATCCAGTGTATATAGTTCGTATAGCTCTGTGCATTAACGCTTGTTTGTGCCACCTTAGCGTTATGGAGCTCGGAGAAACCACTCCAAAGACTTGCAGCTGTCGACATGTGCAACGTTGAAATGGTGCTGGCATGACCCGCGCCAGAAGGTCTGCTGGACATGTCGGGGACTTTGTGCAATGCTTTTGATGCCAACAACTGATCTCATTTGAGCCAAAGACTTTGAGGAAGGGGAAGAACAGCCACTAGAACCCTTCTCAGGCTGTTTTTGCATTTGTTTCTGACTGCTGCTAAGGTGTGAGTGTCAACGGTGCCAAATACACGTCTTCAAATGTATTTTTTTAACCAAAGGGAGAAAGCAGTGAGCCGAATGAACGTGTTATGGGTCTTTTAAAGTTAGTCCAAACCATTGGCATTATGAATTCAGAGTTCTTACGCTGAGTTATCGCTATCAACCACCGCAAGTCTATTGAGGCCTTCGTAGCTCAGGGTGCAAGCATGCCATGAGCTATACAATGGAACACATTTTAATAACACGGCTAAGAAATATCCGGCGTTTCATTCGATACGCATAAAACAGCCCTCAGAATGCGGAAATGCATTGTCATATCCTTGTTTGCTCGGATCGACCCACGGGATCTCTTTACATATCTTCTAAAGGGAGGTGGGGAGGAGGGGGGGGGGGGGGGGGTAATGCAGATGCCGGCTTGATTAACTTTTGCCAACGTTTTAATGAGCGTTTTAGCGCTGCTTGATGTCTTACTGTTCTGCTTCCCTGACCTCCCCGCTCCACCCCAATTGAATATGTGCAAAAAGGGACTACTGGACCAAGGAAATGTAGATGATTTCCCTGAAATACAAGATCACTAGATTCCTAAAAACACCACTGTTAGGTTCATGTTCATCTTGTACTGTATAACATCCTGTAAGTATGTGATGTGCTTATGTGATCCCAACTTCTTTACATTCTAGGCTGACCTGCAAACATCAGCCGGCTTTTGACGAGATACCACCTAGAGCGGTACAATAAACAGAGAAATGCGACATGCCGCAGCATCTGAGCATAAGATGACCTGTTTCAAGATGTAAGGGGCTTAGAAAGTTAGACTAAACGACCATTTATCACGAATGCTACAGCACAAGAGCGTTGCGCAAACATCATGAGCATTCCAGTCATTCAGACTCCCCCGTCCCGTCAGCCAATAGGCAGGACTGGCTAAGGTCTTGCAAATTCCATTTTACCGCTAAAGGTAGGTTCTTCCGGCTGTACACATGGCGCAGTTTCGTAGACACCTCATCACAAAAAATTGTGTAATTTGCACACTATACTTCAGTAGACATGTGTCAGGCCACGCTATTCTGCAATAAACTGTGCTTTTGCGCCTCGGACAACCTTCATGAACGATAAACGAAAAAGTTTCCAGTGGTGATAGCCGAACCGTCTTACTAACTTGCTTTCTATGAGCTACGGCAAGTTCTAAGCCTCTTACAAAGCCGCAGTACCACACGGGCTTGAAATGGGAAGGTATTCTTCAGTAAAGATGGTTCGGGTGCTGACAAAAATAAGCCTCGACATCGGGAGCGCAAATTCAAGAGGTCGAAATCCGAAACAAAATCACATTTTGGGGGAAGTTTAGATCAACTTCATTAGAATCCTCATTTCCGCTTTCTCTTTGCTGTTAACGAGGCGTGATTCTTATTTGCTAATTACTCTCTCAAGTGAGTCTTTTTCCATCCCTGCAGTTTTGTTGAATGCCGTTGAATAAAGCAGCCTGATGCAGCCTGTTACTACAGCCTGTCAGCCTGTTACAGCTTGTATCTGTACGGAAATCTATCACGAGTTGCATGCAACGTGATAGTTCAACAAATTTGCGTGACGTTGGTGTGTGTGGCACCGAGCGTAACTAAATTTTCACCTTTTTTTGCATGATGAGTAGATAGGAACCTGAAACAAAGGTGATACGCAAAGGGGTTATTAAAAATGAAATGTACTGGTTGGTAAGCATAGATACTAATCGCGATTGCAAAGACTGGATAGATATTTGCTTACAAGATGTTTGAAAAACACCGTGTGCTTTTCAAACCCAATGATTGCGCTGGTCTGAAAGGTTGTCAAAACGGCTGCTACATAGTTTGGATACCGGGCTAGAGCCAACAAGAACAAAAACATTCTTACTGACCATAACTGACACTTAGCAAGGTCCACACATTTTGATAGGACAGTTCGACAAAAATATAAAGGGAAGTCACCCACTTGACTGCTCAAGACACAAACCACTTGCGCATTGAAGGAACGTGGAGATGTGTTAACCATGGCAGCAAACGTTCCGTGTTGTTCATTCTGCTCTAAGCTCACAGGTGTCATAATACGGTTCCGCGATGCAGAAATAAACGGGGATGGACATTTTTCCGATGCACAGCACGGCTGCAGGCCCTAACCATGAACAGCAGTCAGGCCAAACCTGTGCACTCTGACTTCACACTCTGAGACCCGGTTGAGCCAAATGCTCTTCATTTGACCCCGTGACCGATTCCGGGAAGTCGCAACTCCACAAGGCATGTACAACTATGGCAGGCACGCTTCGTTAGCTGGCTGCACGAATGTCATCAATTTCCTTCAGATATATTGATCTGTGCACTCAGCGTCCTCCCTTTCAGCCCGTCATTACGCCAGTAAAATTGCTGGTGACATCAAATGACACATTTGGATAATGATACGCCGGCAACCTGCCCATCGCGCCCGAACGAAAATCCACGGGGCCGACTGCACGCGCCGCCAAAAACCCATCAGGACCATTAATGGATCCCTTCCGCTCCCCCGCGCACGATTCATCCGTTTCATCCATTATTCATCCACTCGAACCATAACATTCCTGCTCCCGGCTCGCCGACAATGCGGGCAGCGCGCCGTTCGGCGGCGCCACGCGCCGACACAGCTCGCGCCAAATTGAATGTGTAACCACCAATTAGAGGGGCGCCCGCCGGAGCGGCGATTTGCCGCGGGCCGTCGGTTCGGCACGCTCGCGACCGGTTTGCAAACAGGCGGCGGCGGCGCGGCGCGCGCCACGCGGTCGGATTACCTCGGACGCTCTTTGATGACTTCATGGCTGCATTGGCGATTATTTGCACGCCTAGCCTGTCGGGAATGGAGAGGGTCAGAAGTGGATGAGGGAGGGGGGGGGGGGGGGGGCATTGCTAAGCGGACGCAGTCGCCAGGCAAAGAATACCAGCGGCGACCGGCAGTGGACATTTTTCAAATTCCTGCCCGGAGCAACAGCTCATCTTTGGTAGCACCATGATTTTGCAATCATTGCGTTTGGTGGACATATTGCGGGCGACCAGGGTAGCCACCACAAGCAGGGCTCTGCCCATTCGCCTCTTAATAACACAACTACCGCATTTCTTCATTGACCCTATTCCAGACTGGGTGGCCGACCCAGACAGCTCTTCCTCCCTTCCCCTCCCTCTTCTCTGCGCTTTCATAGGCACGTGCGCAGCTAAGGTCGTTCACAACATGCTTGCAGCTTTTAATACCTCTTCTAACGAGATGGAACAACGGATAGAATGCAAGCAAAAGCAAGAGCTGATGAAACAGACGACACATACATGCTCACACACTACATGAAGTAAAACGCCCGCAAACTTAGACTGACCCGCCAAGCAGCGGGCGTCGCAGGTGATAGTCAAACAAGGACCAGGGAAGTCGAGATGCATCACATGGGGGTGCATTGTAATCACGCGCGCCACGACAGCAGAACCGTCCCCACCCCATCGCTGCACGAAACCTCCGCACCTAAGGGTCGCTGACCGGACGTTTGTGACGACCGCGTAACCGCGCCACGTAGACCACCACACAAGCCAGCACCACAGGCTCCCCGGATTGGAGGATTTTGTGCACCTAACACATAGCGTGGCGCCGCGTCAGGTCCTTCGCGCGGAGCTGGCCGAGCTTCTGTAGGAGATCCGAGGCGAGTCTGATTTGTACGTCCAAAGATAACTTTGCGAGCACAACTAGTGATTTGTTGTATTTGAACTAGGCTCTTTTGAATAACCTTGCCTCATGCCAAGATGCAGTGATCGATCTGAGACAGATCCAGTGCACCGACTAGCTCGGGGAGTACGGAAGGCCGCGTGCCATTGGCCAGGAAGGTGAGCAGACAGGTGACAGGTCAGTCATAAAATGCGCCGGATCACTCGACGTGCCTAAGCAACCTCGTCTGACGACAGAATCGTTTGAGTCCCAGGTGGGAGCAGCATTGAAATTTAGATCCGGGCTTTTTCAGTTCAGGAACCGGGACAAGATCGCGCTCGCCAAATTTGACCGTGAAAAGAAATGTGTGAAAAGTCTGAAAATTTTAGAGCCGTACGGCGTACCGATAAGAAACTAGGAGTAGATGAAAATACGCGATGATGTCACGAACTCTATTTCACCTTGTTTCAGCGGATGCAGTTTGCAGGGTATAATGTTGGAGGGAATTGCATCGAAAGCCAAGCCTCCATACTTGTAGGAGACATGGTAAACAAGTTACACAAAGTGAGACAGTTTGACCGTTGAACTCTTTTCTGGAGAGCGTGTTCCTTCGATTTTTTCTAAGCCGGTATGCAATTGATGATCAAGGTATTGCCGTTCAGACGAAGACAGTAAAGTGGTGGGATCTCTTCCAGATCGGTAACAAATCGAAAATTAACTTAAGCAGATCACGCACGGCGGCATGCCGTAGGCTGACCGGTCGGTATCGGGTGGCCAGGTACGATCGGCTTTCTACGTCGGGAACTGACCGTGACCTTGAAACCATAAATTCCGATATCAAATCAGTCACTTTGTTATTCTTCCGGATCTCTAGAATGATGTATGAATGATGAGTGCGTGTTGATCGACCTTACATACCCGTCGTCCCTCACGAGTCGCGTAAATTACAATTCCTCAACATGTGCTCGGTTTATTTGCCAGGTTGACTACAGTACCGCTCTCTTAAATGAACCGTTCGCAGTTCGCCGTTTCAAAACGCAACGGCTCAAGAATGGACGGAGGAAGTCAAGCGCAGCCCCGAAAGGCATAACAGAACGTTTGTCGATTAGCCACTGGCTTTTTCCGAAGATAACTTTTCCTTCGCACAATGCGCAGTCTATGGCTACTTTTGGAAAACCACTCTTGAGCGAGCAGCGACTTAACAACATGCATCCATTCTTGGCATGTTTCGAAACCACCGACGACCTCGTCAGCAGAATTACCTGTATCATTAGTGAAATTTAAAGCCATTCACCAACCACAGTATACACCCGCTAGGGACAGGTACTACGCATAGTGAAAAGTTGCC